GCCGTGTTGGCGCTTGAAGTAACATTTGAAGTAGTCACTTTTCCGCTCTTCAAACCCGCTTCTACCTTAACCCCCACTGCCACAATATCAGAGAAATTTGTTGTAACGCTGCTGATCAAACGTTCATAGAATTCGGGTCGAACTGTATCCACAAACCAATCTGCCAACTCCTTCTCAGTAAGAGGAGGCTCTACCTGTGCTGCAGTTCCGCGCCACCTTTGTGCATACTCTTTGAAGGTTTCGGTATTTTTCTGCGTCTATTAAGAAGCTGACGGCGGTCTGGAGCTAGGTCCATGTTGTATTTGTACTGTTGAATAAAAGCATCTGAGAGGTCTTGGAAACTGTGAATCTTAGCTTGATCTAAACCGAGATACCACTTGGCTGAAGCTCCTTTCAGACTATCTTGGAAGCAGTGTACCAACAGTTTATCATTTTCAATATGCGGAGCATCCGCCTACAGTACATGATTAAGTGCTCTTTAGGACAAGTAGTCCCTTCATATTTGTCGAAGACCGGTATTTTAAATTTCTGAGGGAACACTAATCCAGATACCAGACATAGATCCTTGGCATCAGATCCAAAGACATGATTTCCTTCAATGGCCCTCATCCTCTTGGCCATGATGTCCATCTCTACCCTTAACTTCTCGTGTTTTTCATCCTCAGCTTCGGATCCATCGGGTATATCAAAGATTGGCTGTTGATTGGCGAAGACTGGTCGTACCGTGGTAGGGACCACCTGCTGTAGTAAAAATGGGGTTTCTGATCGTTGAGTCGAACAACGGATTGAGACCTGAAGACTGCATGCCGTTGAAAGGTGGTACAAAATCCCGGGACATGCCATAGGGAAACTCTGCTGAAGTAACAGGAGCCATCGTGACATTGGCTGCTGTTGTGGCAACTTCGGAGACCACTGTAGGTTGTGTATCCATTTTTGCTTTGATCATGTTGAGGGCTTCTAAGATCTGGTTGACGTCCCCTTTGATCCCTTCAATGTCATTATCCATTCGGTCGAACCTTTGATCGTTATCTGCCATCTTCTTTTGAGCTTGGGACCGTGTGTTGTATCGGTGAGTACTCAGCGTGACTCCTTCTTTTCTCTCTCTGGACAAGAACAAAAGATGAGCTGCGGAACCCCAAATGCAAGATTGATGTAGGATGACATGCGAATGCAGATGCATGAACCATTCAAGGAAACTCAAGATTTTCATTTACAAACAAAAAGTTAGACCAACATGTGGCGACGTGCTTTAAAAAGCGTTTTTCATTTGATAGCTGGGAATCTATTACAATAGAGTGGTCTCTGCTTAAAAAAGCAAGACTTTTCTTACAATGAAAGTAAATGCAACAAGCAGGATTTCAATCCTTTTTTAGGGAAAGCAGGGAAATGACGAAACAAAAACCAATCTAACAAGACGACCCTTCTCCTTCTTGGACCCCGGCATGAACTTGATCCTGGCGGATAATCTCCCACAGGTCTTCATTTTCCCTTTGCGCTTTAACCAAAGCGTATTTCAGTTCTTCCCTAGTCGTGGGGACTTCAGGTTCCATAGTTATCTCGTAATCGTGAGTGTAGAACATGATTAAAGCTATTTCCTTTGACCATAGCAGGTATCCCCTGGTGGTTAGGCAACTTGCATTCTCCATCGGAGTTGGGCCCATAAGGTGTGGATCTCTTTGAGCGTATTCGGCATTAGCTTCTAGTTCTTGGTTGCGACCTGTCTCACAGAAGCGGGGCCTCAACAGTTCTGGTTCAGGCTCTGGCCCGGTAGGATACCCGTGTTGACGCCTAGCAAGGATAGGATTATAAGTGATCACCCCTCCTATCCCAATGAGAGGCACATTGGGAAAATCTCCGTAACTGGAAATCATGATTTGGCCGCCGATGCTAGTGTCGTACCAGGTGATATCATGGTGTCTGAGAGTGACGAGTTTAGAAACCCAAGCGTTTTTGGTAGGAAGCCTCCAAAGGATATGGGTCCTTGGCAGATGAGAAGTAAACCATCGGTCGAGTAGTGCAAGACAG